AATGTACAATAATACTTAATAATTTTTAGTTTTTCTATGAATTACTACTAATTTTCCAGCATTAAAGTGAGAAACTCAAATTAAGGTCAACAAATTATTAAAAATTAGATAGATGTTTCTTTACCTTCTGATAATCATGTGTTTAACAATTATAAACTTATAAACAAATCCTGAAGTTCTTCTTCTCTGTTTGTTTATTCTTCTTAAATTCATAATAGTTTTCTTCATTTATTATCACTTTAATACTTTTGAATTGCATTTTTTTTTTGGGATTAATAAAGCACTAAGATAATTGCCACACATTTTTCATGATTTAAGGCCCAGTCCTGTCTTAAACTTTTGGCTATGCAAAGTGGTTATTTTTTGTATTTTTCGGCTGTTGTCTCCAGCAGACCTGTCAACTGAAATGCTCGCTGGAACGCAACGAAAGCCCCTAAATCAATAAAAGTTTCGATGGCTTAATACCAAAACGGAAGCGGCATTCGGCTTTCAGTTTTCAGTGGCAGTGGCGACGACAGTCGCTAAGTCGTCGAAAATATGCCGCCTTGTTATTGCATTCCCGCCGAACCACCGACCGACCCACTGCACCACCATTTGGGTTATATTTTTTATTGACTTAGTTTCGAGTGGCAGCGCCGCAAAGTTTGCAACTCTTGCGCGGCAAGTTCTCCATTATTCGGGCTGCCTACTTTAGGCTGGGGTTCGCTTGTCTGGCGATAGTTTTTTCCAGCTTTGCGATTACAAATGAGATTTATACGGCCATTTCCGTGCCATTAGAGGAAGTGCAGGAGGCGGCGCTGCCTAGTCAAGTGTGCGGCCATAAAGAACCCAAAAAATAGTAGAGCAAAAAAAGAGTACCTATTACTTTTGCAACCATGAGGCCAGCTCATATTTTTCCATTGGCCTTGGCGCATTAACCGACGCTTTTTCACTTACTTCTCTTGTTCGCAGGCAAGCCAACTTGTCAACGGAGCGGCACGCCTAATGTCCTTTTGATAGGCTCTCCAGGATCAGTGGCGGAAGTCCGGAAGGAGGTCGAGGAAGCGGTGTCCACTGCAGCGGCGCCAGCACTTGATAAATTATCATGTGAGCAGGGAGGAAGTGGACGAGGATGCGGCTGGCAGCTGCAGCAAATGATGTCGGATGCTGCATAGAACTAACCCGCTTCACCTGCGACGATTTTTAATCTATTTTAAATGGTAATGGTTCGGTGCGACCGGATGATGGTTCACAACGACCGTGTTCTTTAAACGGGTCGGTGGGACTTTCGTCCGTTTGTAACGCCATTTGTCAACGATTTATCAGTGTCCAGTGTCCGGGGATTATTTATGATGTCCTGTCTTGCACCTGCCGCCCATCGATAGTGCATCCATTAATTGATTCGTAATTGCATCCGGCTACAATCTGATATGTATAATAAAAACCCTGCTAATGAATAAATCCCGATTTTGTATTTAAAATAAAATTTATTTGTATATTTCATTTGAACAAACGATAATATCTTTTCATTGCGAATGGGGCTAACAAACAAAACAGATTTTCTGGTGTTTGGTGTAGATGCTTTTTGTATTTCTTTTCTGGGCGTGCACAAGGATAATAACAATATTTGATGGTCTAGCCTAGGGGATAAAAAAACATGGATAATAGCTGACTGATTGGCTGATTTGCTGATCGGCTTCGATAACATTAACATGCATTTACAAATAGATAATTGTATAAATAATTTGACTATTGACTAGGGATAAATTTGTCGTATTTGCTTCGTTTCTTTGCTAATTGGCTAACGTAACGCAATGCAGCAGCGGAATAAATAGAACATCGAATGAGTTGCACTGGGGCAGCCTAACTACTTAGCACTAGCGGATTATATAGATGTAGAAATTCATGAGGCGGCGGCGAGATTCCATTGTTCGTGGCTCGTGCCAGTTTCAAATTTTCAAATTTCCAACTTCGAGTTTTAATTCGCCGCCATTCAAAACTCACCACGCGGGTGCAAAGCTCGGCTAGAGCGAGTCGTGTGGGCGTTAGGTTCTTAACTAGACTAAACGGATAGGTTTCTTCGATTGGCAAGAAATGAAAGCTCTGCTTTACGTTCGTCCTTTACGAGATGTAAAGTTCCACGCAGGAGTTGCTCACAAGGGGCGTGGCAGCCGGACCCGCCGCCTTCATCGGGGGCGCAGCGGTAACGGCGGCTGTGGTGGGCGTGGCGTGGTTCGTGTCTATGCTGAGCAGCGTTTGTGATGCAGATGAAGAAGCCGTTGACGCCTCCAAAACCGTTGGGGGCGTGGCCTTTGACCCAGTGGGCGTGGCACTCCCACTCTCCGCCCTCCCATTTACTGCGATCGCTGGCAGATTCGCTGGCATCACCTGAACGGGCAACTTAACTGTGGAACTGCCGTTGACTCCTCCGCTTCCGGTCGTCGTGGGCGAGAATTGCTTGGACGGCACAAAGGACACGGCCCCCTTGGTGGGCGTGAGTATCAGGCCAGTGCTAGTGTTCGAAATGGCCACGCTGGGCGGCGAAAGCGGCGAGGGGGGAAAGAAGTCCAGCGGGTACTGCAAAATAAGAAATATTAGTTTTTATTGTGTAGCTTTATATCCACCAATAAATATATTTCAGAGTACTTTTTCTACAACATTTTCTACAACTTAAAAGCTAATTTACCGTTCATATCTAACTAGGAGGTCAATCATAATCTTTCTAAGACAAATTATTAAATACTGAAAAATTAAAAACAAAAATTTTAAAAATTTCAAACAAAACATTTTTGGGACAAAAGAATGGGTATTAATATTAATTAATAACCTTAATAAGCTGTACAGCTTGCTTAATATAAATTACTATAGAAAATCAGCAAAAATTCCAAGTTCCGACTAGGTGTTCCTTCAAGTTTAAATTGGTAACTTGTGATAGAAAACCCTAATTACTTTCTTTTAAATCTGAATTGCTAACTCAGATTATTTTCCTTAAATATTTCTGAAATTATTTTGTAACACTTTTAGTCGATTTTATTTTTTTTTTGTGTTGTTTCAAACCCCTAAAAACCAGTCATACGTTTATCTAAACCTTAACACGAAAACTTTCCAGCCCATCAGGGAGCGTTACTTTCGGGGAGTGTGGATAAATTCTCGATTCTTCATGCTTACCAGGGGCTGCGAGGGCGAGTGGGCTCCCGGCTGGCTGTAGTAGGTGGTGGGCGAGACGGGCGGACTGGGGTAGGGCCAGTAGACGAGCGGCGGCGGGTAGAAGGCGGAGGCCGGGTGGTGGTGCGGATGGTGGTGCGAGCGGGGCGTGGCCAGCAGGGGCGTGTGCGGCGGCGGTGGGGGCGGGGCAGCTCCGTAGGCCGGAAAGGGGCCGCCGTAGTGGGCGCCCAGCACAGTGGCACCTATGTGAAAACAAACAAAAGGGTGTTATTTCGCTGCAATCGAATCAAAATCCAAGGGCTCCTCTGCGGAAAGAGGAGGGGCTTCATTCGGGGAACTTGGGGTAATAAGTGTTGTGAGTATGGCTGTTGCTTGTTGAAGGGAAGGGGGCGGGAAGGAAGAGGTATCAGCAGACATATACAAGATATACAGGTATATATTCGAGGGGCTTACTGCTCAGCTTCTGCAGCATTAAAGTTCTCTGTTCTCATTTCTTTTTAGTTGTTACTGGGTTAGTTAGTGATCTTAGCTCCGTAATTAATTGGCCAGTTGGTTAGTCGGTTAGCAGGGGCAAAATTGTTTTCAAATCACTCACCGTTTCACCGTTTAGACATTGCAAATGGTAGGAGAGACATATATAGTTGGTATTTTGGAACGAGTATATCTTACCACCTCACCCAGAGACCATGAAACAGTTGCGCACAAGTACGAGTACAAATTTTGAACATGTTTAGCCGATTGTTTTGTTTTATACTTTTTGTTTGATTGCTTTTGTTTTTGTCTTTTTTGTTTTGTCTTTTGTTTTTGTTTAATCCAAGCACCAGGACCGTAATTGATTATATTGTATGCGCCCGAAGGAACAGACTGCGTCGAGTTACATACAGGATGCGACTATGACTAGTACGATCATGATGGACATTCCACTTAGAGTTACGATAGTATTTATGTGGCTAGAACAGTGACGGAAACAGAAACCAAACAAACTCCAAATGCCGATTCCGGATATCCACTCCCTTGGACGAGGCGCTGAAAACGCGATCGAGTGTAAAGCTTAGCCCAAGCCCGATACCCCAGTTACATGTACATATAGGTGTTTTTCAATGAGTGGGGGATAGTGTGGGGATTTAGGAATAGGATCTTGGGAATTGGGATCTCTTCTCGTTTCGGGATCATCGGTGTTAGTAAGGACTTAAACCCATTATGATCTCGCTTCGGTTTGTTAGTAGGGTGTTCTGGGTTCGATCCTCTACTCATCGGGCAAACACACAAAAGAGCGAAAGGGATGGTGACAGTGTGAGAGAGAGAGATAGAGAGAGAGCGGGCTTAGTTTAGGCGGTATGTCGTATTTTATTGATGTAAAAAATTAATCAAAGATTGTTTTTACTAACATCTAGTGGTAAAAAAGAATGGAATATCAAAAATCGTAAAAATCGTTTCCAAAAAACATTTAAAACTGCTGTGCGTACGAACTAGTTAAGTAGATATTATCGATTATGTGTGTGTTGTTGTTTCTTTAAAGTGGCCGTTTAACCCGCTCGGAAGCCACTCGATTGCCATACTACATAAAACTAGTGGTTAAATTAGGCTAAGGATTAGGCTAGGCGCAGACTATCTTTCCCATGCCTTTCCCTCGCTAAGCTCGATCTTCCTAAGACGAGCGGAACTTAGTGTTAGACGCAGCAGGAGAAGAGGAAGAGAGAGGTGGATATAAGGGTTTTGGGGATTTAAAGGAATTTTCTCCTTGAAAACAAAAGCTGACAAAAGCTCGTACGTGTGTACACCTTTAACAAGATGCTCATTAACTTAACCCCTGCCTTAACGCGTATTTCAATAAACTATTAAAGTATCGGATATATTGTAAAATTTCCCAACAATAACTTCTCAAGAGTTAAGACAGTCTTAAAGCTAACAAGCACTTTGCAGGGATGTAAGCCCGAGTCACCAGTAACCAGTTATCATCCGATTATGCAGACTAGACACACTATATATATATATAGACACTAAAGCGACCCAACTTACAACAAGCTTTAGACTATTGATCTAGACTGATCCCGAGACTAAATTAGTGATGACAGAGAACACACAGACAGTGACAGAGGTATTGATATCGAGAGAGATAGAGAGAGTGATTGGGTAGAAAGTATTATCCCGTTTGCGACTAACACCAGTTACGCACACTTAAGAGCTACACCATATAGAACTAGGCAATATATTGCAAGTCAGACGATGAGATTATTAATAATTGGTTGTTTGATTTGGTTAGCGGCCATGGAGAGACACGGGAATAGATTGCCGGTAGAATTAGAATTAATGCAAACCCATTTTACAAGTCGCACAGTCTTAAAGCTAGCTTATAAGTCGATAGGCACACAACTCCACCCATCGATGGTTGTTATTCCGAAACGATTGTCTTACAGAACAGGGTTTCGTGATATTCTCGTGTTTCGCTTTCGGTTTCTGTTTCAGTTTCAGTTTAAAATTGCGCTTGAGCCAACACCTGACGTGGTTCATGGGGGGAGGGGACCTCGTATGTATTTTAAGGAGGGTTCCAAAGGGTAAACACTAAGATTAGATTGCACTGAATGGGCGTGATCTCACTCCCTCCATGAACCACGTTAGCCTCTGTTGATTGTCTTCGAAATCGGAGGTCAGAAAAGGATCTATATATTCCCAGGATATACACTTCCTTCTGCCTCGCACACGCACACACACACACCAAGCATATATATCGTAATTAAATATAGTAAATCCATACATATGTGGAATGCTTAGTAGAACACAAGTGATAGGGATCTCTTGGATCCCTTTTTCTTTATAAATTCCCTCTGTTAGCCGGTGTACTTATGCGTGTGTATGGGTGAGCAGTGCTTATGTGTGTGTGTGTGTGCCCGTGTCGTTGTATATTAAATATATATGTATATAGTAAGTATTATTCGCTTAGACCATAGACAAGTATGCTTAGGCTACTACGAGTACTCCATACAAGAAAAGTACTTAAGTCTACATTCCAAATCGGTAATAATTAAGCTCTAGAGAATGTCTGTGTGTGAGTGTGGCCATGATGATACATGATATATGGTTATGTGTGTGTGCGTCTTAATGCAGGTGTTATATATGGAACACCCCACCCACTCGCGGAATGTGCCCGAAGTGCTGGAGTTTTGGAGCTCTTATTTCAGGGTTTTAAATTGTTTTGGGATATATAAGATTATATCCCAGAATTAAAGTACGAATAGACATTGCTGGACTGACGATTCAAAGCCCTTTTGGCCGCACTGGCCGCCGCTGCCGCTCCCGCCGCCTCCTGCTGAAAGGCGTTCTCGTACGACCGCTTCATCGACTGACTCAGCGACGAGTTGCTCGCTCCTGAGACAGATGTTGCTGCTGCTGCCGCTCCGGCGGCTGCAACTGCCGGTGCCACGCCTACTCCCGAGGCTGCCGCCGCCCCCGCAGCGGACATGTAGCCCAGCGGAAAGGGCGGCAAATAGGCCGCCGAGGGCCTCTGCATGAGCACAAACTGCGGCTGACCCTGCTGCAACATGGCGCTGTACGCCAGTTGCTGTTGCTGCTGCTGCTGTTGCAAGTACAGATGCGGATGCTGCTGCAGCATGGCACTGGCATAGAGTTGCTGCTGCTGCTGCTGTTGCTGCTGCGCCTGTTGCTGATGCTCAGCGGCCAAGGCAGCGGCGGCAGCCTGTTGTCTTACCAACAAACTCTGCTGAGCGATAAACTGAGCCTGCTGTTGGGCCAACAAGGCGGGCGTGGCGGAGGCCGAGGCCGTCGAAGGAGGCGGCAGCGAGAAGGGATTGAGGGCGTAACCCTGGGGCGTCAAGGTCACAGCCGAATGAGCGGCTGAGGGCGAAGGTTGACCAGCGGCGGCAGCGGCCGTCATGAAGGAGGCCAAACCGGAAGCGGAAGCGGCTGCCGAGAGGCCCGGCAACGAGGACGACAGTCCGTGGTGGGCGGACAGGCCATGGGCGTGGCCCTGAACATGCGCATGTGTGTGCGTTGGGTGACTATGCGTGTGTGGTGTGTGTGTGCCGCCGAGCGGCGACTGAGCGGTACCGGCCGCAACGCTCGTCGGCGATTGACCCGCCGAACTGAACATACCCGTGGTGGCGGCCAACAGGGATTGCTGCTTGTGCAGATGCTGCGGCGGCGGCTGGGCCACCGGGGAGGCCAGTCCGCCGTTGAGGACCATGTTCATGTCGTCGCCGGAGCACTGGAACACCTCGATGTAGCGGTACTTCTTGCCAAACATCATGTAGTGGTTGTGCCTGCGCTGGGCGCACAGACGAGCCGACTCCTCCTGGTCCATCTGGATGAAGGCCTCTCCGCTAGGCTGACCCTGTAGGAGATTAGGGGTAACAGATTAGAATTTTATATATTTAAATCTCGAATAAAAATCCCACCTGCGCATTAATCACCATATGCACGCCCTGGTAGATTATGTGCTTGGCAAAGTCGTCGAGAAAGTGCAGGATGTGCTCGACCATCGCCTCGTAGGGCAGTCCGCGCAGCCGGATGCAGTTCTTAGTGGTGCCCGAGGTGATGAGGTGCTGTGTGGGGAGAGGGAGAGCGGGGGGAGGCACGGGGGGGCACAGGTTAGCGGGGCTGGCTCCGAGGCTGTGGGCGAGGCTGTGGGCACCCACCTGCGGCAGCAGCGGCAGCTGCATCGTGGGCAGTTGGGCGATCAGCGGCGGCTGGCTGTGCCCGCCGCCCGACTCGTAGTTCTTGGGGTCCATCGACCGGTTGAGCACCTGCTGCACCTCGGCCGTCGTCGAGCGGAACAGCTCGATGTACCGCTGGCCGATGGACTCGCGGTGCCGGCCCAGCGCCTTCGGTGCGTCCGTCTCCTGGGCGAAGAGCACAAAGGCGTCGCCGGTGGCCCGACCATCGGGCTTCTTGACGAACAGAACGCCCTCGCTCCCGTCGAGAACGTGGCAGGGCGCCGTGTCGCCAGTGGTGAAGAAGTCCAGCTGCATGGGATTTAGTTGGTTAATACATTTGACATTTGTGACCCATATAATTTTAACAAATATAATTTAAATCATTTCTAACAAAAATAAATCCAGGGAATTTCCAATGAGTTATCAGTGATTTACTATTAAATCAACAGTGAAATTATACTGAATTTAAACTAAATTGTTAGAAATGTATCAGTGAAATGTTAGTGAATTTACAGTGAATTACCAGTGACTTACAAATGAACTATAAGAGAATTATCAATGAACTACTATTGAATTATCAATAAATTACCAGTAAAATTCTACACACAAAAAAAAAACTTGGTAAAATCAACTGTAATAATTGTCAAACAAGCCCCAACCAGCAAAATTGTCAATTCTACTAAGTAAATAGTTATTTCACAACAACAAAATACACACAATTAGCAAAGACACAAACCCAAAGCAAATTTTTTTGTGTGTACTGAATATTAACTAAATTGTTAGTTATTATTATAAAACCTATAAGAGAATTATCAATGAACTACCATTAAATTATCATAAAATTACCTGAGAATTTTCAACAAATTCCCATTAAATTAAAAGTAATCTATCAGTGACATTTGTCACGAGTGACTTTTTAAAACCCTTCAAAATTCACCACTTGCTTGGCGGAAAATTATCAGTAAATTACCAGTGAATTTTCAGTGAATTCCCATAAAATTAAAAGTAATCTACCAGTGGCATTTGTCACGAGTGACATCTCAAAAACTCACCACTTGCTTGGCGGTGGCGTCGTAGGGCAGTCCCCGCATCCGGATGATCACCTGGGCGCCCTTCGAGAGGAAGGCCTGCGCCTCATTGGAGGCTCCGCCGGCGATGGCCAGGAAATCCTCGCCCGAGGCCCGGTACACCTCGATGTAGCGGGGTCCGATGTGATGCTTGTGCCGCTTGAGGGCCATGTCGCGATGCTCCTGGCACACAAAGCGAATCAGAGCCTCGCCGTTGCGACGTCCCAGCGGAGAAAGACAGAGGGCTACGCCGCCCCTGCAATTCAGAGAGGCAGAAGGGAAGGGGGAGCGGTTAGCGGGTGGGTAGACCGATAAAGTGGGTCGCTCGTAATCTCGACACGGCCGACCCCTGAACCGTCTTATCAATGGGTTGGCGGTTGGCTTTTGTGGCTTGTAACTCGGGTATTACTCACTTGGCTACGTTGAGGCCGCGGAAGAACTTGGCGATGTCCTGGTCGCTGCTCTGCCAGGGTAATCCTCTGGCCCTCACTATACAATTGCCGTCGACCTCGTCGTCAATGGAGCTGTTGAATATATAGAAAATAGAAAAATCCGTTAGTTCTTGAGCTTCTTGGGAAAACCCTATCCCGCCATCGGGTTATGCAACTTGGGACCTCTTCTCTTTTTCCAGGAGGAGAAAAGGCGTCGCAGTCACGTTCCGATGTGCAGCCAAAGTTCTTGACGATTACCAAGTCGCATAAACATTTCTGCTGACTCTCCCGCAAACACATACTCGCACAAATAAACCAGAATGTCATGCATAAATGGGCCAGCAAAAATACAAAAAATAAAATGAACGAAATGGAAATAAAACCAAGCGAGCTGTGCGAACAAATAAAAAAATGAATAATAAGAGTTGGCAGACGGGCCAGCAACAAGGAGTTTCAGAAAATTGGGTTCAGAAAAGCGAAAGGGAGGGGGGTTACCTCTGTAGCGCCGTAGCTAATTGAATATTTTATAGTGATTGGGTCGAAAAAAAAACAGTCCCCTGTGGGTTGATGAAATTCTCCAGGCCGATCTAGCGATAACAAGAGCCGTGCATTCACGTTGCCTCCGATTTCTGATCCGTTAAGATGCCACCCGAAACCACACGATCCCGTGGAAATACTATACACTACGATGGCTCTACGATCGAGCTCTTATCGCCTCCCAATCCAAACGCAGACTGACGAGAGCGACGCTCCCAGCTCGGATTTGTTGGGGCCTTCTTCCAGTGTCTGGGTTTTCGAGTGCTTTTCTTTGTGGGCTCGGCGATCGTCTTGAGTTTTCAGTTTAAAATTTTTGAGTGAGTTGTTGCCACTCGAAATAGTGCTTGGATCACAGCTGAGAGGGGCTTGAGTCGAGTTGTGTTTTGGGGAACTAGTTCAGACAGAAAAACAGAAAGTCCCCACTCACCAAATTCCAGGTTCCAGTACCAGGTTGACCAATTCGTTTGCAGCAAATTTGTGACCTGTGGAGAAAAAACTTCAGGTAGTCGAAAATTCCGGGGAAAAGATGTGAGCTTTATATAGCCTCTATAGCTTACCTGCCTGCAGCAGGGTCTGGATCACAGAGACCATGTCGCGAGATTCGCGAATGTAAAAGTCGTTGTCCTCCACCGATGAGCTGTTGAGTTCTGTTGTGATTAAAGTAAGCGAAACTAATTAAAAAACTTGTACACTTAATTGAACCAGAAAAGTAATCATAATTTTATAAAGTACACTTTTAGTGTGAGCAAAACAGAAAGAAAGGAAATTCATTTTAAATATTTAAATTTTATAAAATGTATGAATTGAAATAATATTTTATAAAAGTTATTTAAATTTTACAATTATATTACCAAAAAGGAAAAAAATGAATCCAAAGTTTTTAAAAGTTTAAAACAATTAAAGAAAAGTAGTAGAATAAAAAAATTAAATTAATTTATTAATTATTATTAATGATGTTTGGCTTATATATTTTCTTCAAGTGTAGTGACTCAAAAAAGTATGCATAGGACATAGTTAAATTTTTTTAAATTTAACAAGAGAGAACGCTATAGTCGGGTTGTTGTCCCGACTATCTAATACCCGTCACTCAGCTAAAGGGAGTGTGAACGCTGTGTCGGGTTGGTGTCCCGACTAATAATCGTAACTGAGCTAAAGGGAGTGCGAGGGAGATAGATATATAATTTTTGATTGCGTATAACTTTTTAATGAATGGTCCGATTTGAAAAATGTCTTCTACATTTCGATAGGTATAAATATACACAACAAAATTGCATTTATACTTCTCGGAAATCTTTAAAGATGTGGGCGCAGGACCCATTTTAAAATCGTTAGTGGGCGATTGTGGGCGTTAGAGGGGGCGTGGCGCTCGGCTAAAATAAACTTGCGCTGCGTAGGAAGCCAAAGAATATGTGTGGGAAATCTCAACCTTCTAGCTTTTGTAATTTCTGAGATCTCAGCGTTCATACAGACGGACAGACAGACAGACAGACAGACAGACAGACAGACAGACAGACAGACGGACAGACGGACAGACGGACAGACGGACATGGCTAGATCGACTCGGCTAGTGACCCTGATCAAGAATATATATACTTTATGGGGTCGGAAATGCTTCCTTCTAGCTGTTACATACTTTTGCACGAATCTAGTATACCCTTTTACTCTACGAGTAACGGGTATAAAAATATTTTAAAATATTTAAATTAAAGGAAACTCACCTCCCAGCATCTCGGCGATGGACTGAGGCATGGGCAGCGCCGGCGCCTGCAGCATCTTCTTGACGTCCTTGACGGGGACGAGGGCGCGGGCAAGGTCGCCGGACTTGTAGCGCAGGAACTCCTTGCGCAGATCGCTGAAGCGGTTGTAGTAGACCGGCAGCTCCACGTCCTTGGCACTGGCCTCCCGGTGGAGGCACTGCCTCAACGGCAGCTGGCCGTCCGTGACGAGCGTGATCTCCGTGTCATGGAGCGACAGAGATCGCAGGTAGGCATCGAACTAAAGGAAAGGGCGGAGACATGGAATAATTAGTAGCCAATTGCAATTAGCACTTGAGGGAAAAATACACCAAACATTCCACTGGTTCCCGAGAGGAAAAGTAGTGGCTTTGGGTCACCGGTCACCACTGATAGTGCCACATTCCCCACACACTCGCCCCAATGCCATTTGGCTTAAACCCGTTTGCTGGCCGGCAATTATGGCCAATTAAGTGAACAGTTTTCAGCCGTGTCATGGTGAGTAAATATAACACGCGGCTTAATGTCGCATTACCCGCTCGAAATCGCAATCGAAATAGCGCCAGAGCAAGGAATATAATCCAGATGACATCACTAATCCCGAGCCAAGACCCCTTGCCACCCCTTTCGAATGCACCTTTATCTCCGGGCAATGGCTTTATTGGCCCTATTGACTCGGCCAATTAGTATGCCAGACTTGTGCCGGATTCCCAATGCGTCACGCGCTGATCTCGTCGGGGGAACAAAGGTTCCCAGATGCAGTTGCTATAACGAGCTAAGTAATTGACTTGACCAATGGGATGTCATACTAAGAAGATTAGATTAACTCTAGATCGTTTAAATCAGATGTTAAAGTTCAGTCATTCGCTGGCAGTTACTTAAGTTACTTAAGTTAAACAAAGAAATTCCGATATAAATGTAGGTCATACTGCCGTAAATTTCGAAGCTATGGGTTCTATAATATTTCCAAGAATTTTCCAGTTCCTCTAAAGTAAACGTTATGAGCTCGTGAGATTTTAAGTTCATTTACAGATTGGTCAAGGTTCACGAGGCATCCAAATGTTTGAAGTAATACCCTGAAATAATGATGATTCCACTCTTCAAACATTTCAGAAAAACCTCATAACATTTCCCTCTACATTCATATCGAAATCTTTTATCTGCATCAGCAGCCAATAATGTATGTCGTATTTGTTTGAAGAGCGGCATTTTCCAGTTCTGCTGTCAGCATGGAGCTGAAAGTGGAACCGGGGGCTTGACTGGAGTGTTTGTCTTATCAGTGGGTCAGATAAGCGCTGAAGGGGTGGGAGGTTATACTCCTCGCATGCTCAATGGGTGTGGAATCTGTGCTGGGCCAAAGGTCTTTAGAGGATAATGCAAGCCGACGTGACCGCGCAAGAAACTACATAGTCCAGTCATCATGACTTCCTCGAATCGGAAATAGATCTTGAATAGGGGTTATCAGATAGCATTCAATACGTGAAGCACCAATGTCATTCATCTTTTCGTACACATATAGAGATAACAAATGTTTCAGAAATATTCGTATTAACGACTAAATAATAAGTTGTAATTGTAAAATGATTTTTTATTTCATTAGTACTTATCATTTCTAATGTATCATGAACTTTAAAAAAATTGTATCTATTAAAATAGTTGAACTGTGAAATGGTATACACATAATAATAATAATCTCATGCTGTTACTTTGTAATATTACCAAAACTAGTACTAATTTGGTCAGACATTCGTCGGCTTTTTTAACAGTGTAAATTTAGAGCTCTGGTGGTAACTCGATGCCCATTGAGAAGTGGCTACGCAACACGCCACATAAAAGTCGGGGGCAAGGACCAAGAACGACTCATTCTCTATTTAGAGGGTGCGTTCCATAAATAGACCCCTCCGATTCCCTTTACCCCCAAAACGTGTGCATTTTAGTAGTGGCATAGTGCAGGCCTAATCTTATCGTAATCAGCTGATAACCGGCTGGAATCCAAACAACCCAAAACAACCCGAACAACGTGCTCTGATTACCGCGTAGATGAGATTGGTTTATACATAATGTGTACGCACCTCTTCGATGGCCTCGCTTAAGGGTTTGCCGGCCGCCTGGGCCTCTGCGATGGGTAGGATCACCTCGGATCCGTTCTCCAGACCGCTTCCGTTGTTGCTTCCGGCTCCACTGCCATTATTGGCATCCCCGGAAATCGCCAGGGGCGGCGAACTGGCCGTGTTGTTGGTGACACTCGAGTTGTCCGAGGATCCCGAGATGGTGCGATCTTTGATGAAGTAGCCATCCGGCCGCACGAGTATTTGTTTGGTGCCCACGATCTGGGAATGTGGTTGGGGGTAGACGAGAAATAGTCATTAGTTTACCTTGGCAGTGATAAGTGTCGGCAATAATGATAGGGGTAAACAAATTTCATTTCGAGGCCTGAGATCTAAGTACTCTATTAAAGGGGGTTTTAATTTTAACTGTCAGTTGGCAACTGTAAGTTTTATTAAAAGTAAAAATTGTACCTATTACATAAAACAAAATATAAATAAAATAAATAAATAAAAATAAAATATAAAAAACTGAAAAAACTTTAACCAATATATATAAGAAAACCGTGGAGGTACCTATTTCCCACCCCCAACATCGAAAAACCAGTAATCATGACTGTTCCCAGTCTTATCGCCTGGAATAGAAACCGCTCTTGACCGAGTCAACTTTTCCTATCACTATCACCCGATTGTGGTGTATACACCTGCACTCCATTCCGTAATATGTTTCTAGATCTTTCTTAGAAAGTATTCTCGAAAAATATTACTGAATACAGCTCTATTCTGTTCCCATCCAGAAACCGCAATCCCAATCCGTATTCCAATCCCAAGGGAACAAAGACTGGGCGCTTGCGTCAGCGGATATGCAAAGAAGTCTCGATCCGAATCGAAATCGAGGCTTTTTGCAGGTAGTTGGGCGCTATGCAAATCCAAAATGGGTAGGCCTTAGGAAGAAAACTAAAATTGTGCTTTTCTTTGTTTTCCAATTTCAGGCGGCATTTAAAATCGATTTACATAGTCTTTGAATGTCAGAACAATACTTGGGAACGGGAGGTGAAAAAGAAAGACGGAAACGGGGTATTTGGGAGTGGGTTTGCGAAGAAAATGAAAAATGCATGAGTTGCGGTCATGTTAAATTCAACGGACAAGAATGTATGTGCCTCACTGGGGGCCTAAAATCACACCTAATTATGCCAGCATGGGGATCTCAAAATAAAAGGGGTATATATATTCCTGAGCTTCCATTAACCCACTGTTTTCAGCTCAATAGAAACACCGATTGATTAATTAAAGCTCAGCCTGGCAAGAGTTCTAATTGGTTCAAGAGATTAAGAGCAAGCTCACCGCCGTCTTACCCCTCGGACTCCATTTAGACGACTTTTTGCAGTTTGTTTTGCGAATGTTAATTAACTTTAATTGTTGGCATACGAGTCATAACTAGCCTGTAATTAACATGCCAATTACTGCATCGGTATATGTGCTGGCCAGCAGCAAATTAAGGAAATTGCTCTCCAGCAAGAAATCTATATCAGAGAAATTCAATTCGAGATCGAGCTGACAAGAAAATGGATCACCTGAGACGACGGAAAACGATGTTTCCGTTTTGGAAAGTCTATCTGTATCTCTATCTCCGTTGGAAGAGCCGGTACAATAAATTCTCTTATCACGCTGCCCAAGCAAATAATTCCGATTTGACAGTTTGGTCGTACTCCCCTTCAGCTGTCCAAAAAAAAGACCCACAGACGCTCCATTAGGCAGACAAATGACAGTCAGAATCGGTCAGCATATTGGCCATTATTATTATAATTCCATGTCTACATCTATGGCAGGCGGGCCTTCAAATCCGAATCCAATTGCTGTCAGCGGAATATTGCGATCACAGTGATGAGGGGAATAAACGAGGCTAGGCACTAAATACTTTTGATTTTGCCAAGTTAGAGAGTTATCAATAGACGCATTACTGACTTAATTTGAGAGTTAAGCAAAACTATTATTTAAAATATATCTATACAATATTGTTTAAGCTTTATTTATGTGTATTATATATCCAATTTGCAATCACGCTTTTGTCTGCTGATCTAAGATAAATATATTCATAGTTTCAACAAGTTTAAGGTTGTTTTAAAATATTTCCCAAAATTCGGTCATATCGCATACCAAGTGACGTCTTTATGATATATATGATATAGATGTAGTGCCACTTTCCACTGGTTTTGCGAATACCGTTCGAGCATTAGCATATATTTCGCAGACTGCATTTGGTATTCAGATATGCACGAACAAACTATACTTAAATCAAAAGTCTGGTCTAGACTAGTATAGCTCATTAGGGTCCAAAAACGAGTCGGAGAAGGGGAAGGATTTTGGAGAAATTCGAGCGTCTGCCGCTGACCCGTTGACCCGGCCAAAAATAGCAAGAGAAAAGCGATATAATAGTTCCAATAATCTGCGGCGGGGACTCACCGCGAAGCGAAGATTAACATAAAAATTGGCCCCGGAGTGGAAACGTTTTACGAAAGCCACTTAGCTGGAAGCCAGAGTTTAAGCTCGGGTAATTAATTCACAATATTATTAAGAGCCAAAAGCCACCAAAGACAGAAGCTGGCCGCTCTGACATCGGGTCAGGGCCTTTCGGAGGGGTCAAAAAATATCACAAAGTATCTCACAAAAATAGAAGCGCTCGTAATGGACTGACCAATGCCGCCATTAAATGCCACTTAAGATCAGCGCGGAGGAGGGCTAAAAACGGGCAGGTATCCGTAGCTGCACTTACTAAAATGTTGCGTGCTCGTCATAAAATCGCGACAATGTCAGGCAAACATCTCGCGGATACCCCCGGCTAATGCCAGCAAATAGCCTCAAGAGCCCCGACCCGAAGGTACACACAGACCCATCTAATGGCCGGCAATTTCCTTCATCAGTTCTAGTCGGTGTCGGTGCGAAAACAACATCCACTACATATACCTTTAGTAAGTAATATCTATAAGTCGGTGTGCCTCTGAACACGCAGCCTCCGCCGGAATCGAAGCGCCCACGTAACCCCCAGAAACTATACGATCCGATACGATACGGGTTTTTGTGTGCACTCAAGATTGTCGAGTATTGGGCAAATAAAATTGCGTATTGAAAGCGACATTATTAGACCCCACGAAATGCATCGAAATGGGCAAATCCGAATGGCGAGTCAATGCAATCGATAATGGGGAATAAATTATTCCCAGATTTTTAGATCGAAAACAAATCGTTTAAAATAACACTTTAGAAAAATTTACTAAATAATACTTTACTATAGGGAAGAAACTTAAAATATGCTTTATAGTATTTTTAAAAATACATTAGAAATCCAACAATTTATGAGATTGTATTTATTTTTCCCTACCAAAGGATGGCAATCCCACGGCATTACATCATTCGCAATTTGAAAATTTCTGTGTGCTTTCTTGGAAAACTTGCTTTTGGCGCTTGACAAATACTTTTTAATGGCAGGCGATAGTTAGTCGGGGGAATTTCGTAATGCCCATGGAGCGGGGCTCCGATGAGGGCCTTTGACGAGACTGCAAGTCTCGGTTGTTGTTGGCCTGCCCTTAGCCACCTCGGATGTTTAGAGATTTTTTCCAAACAATTAGTGTCAAACGCTTGGCAAACTCAAAATATGCAAATATCCATATACAATGTGCACGCTCCTCACTCTCCAATTTTAAGGGGGTTCTCCCAGAAAAGAAAACATAAACACCTATAAACAGATATCGCACGTGGATCTTAGAAAAGTCTACCGAATGATAGGGTCGGGAGTGTTAATCTCGACATTATTTTCTCGCACTTTGTAAATATATATTATGTGCTAAGGAGTATACCCACTTATTAGGCTTAAATCTGAAAATGATTGCAGTTTGCGGCAATTTCATTCCATATCTTCAAAGCAATTCCATTGATAGTAATCATAACTATTCAAAACAACTAGAATTGGTAAATTTTTTCTTTGAAAGTAGATACTGAACTCATATTAGTATTAGTAATACAAATTTTAAAAAAATCTTTTCTTTTTGTTTTCAGTATATTTTGTAAAAAGCTTGCCCTCACTTTGCATCTCCCACATTTGGCGAATCAAAATCGAGAGCTATAGCATAATCAACGATCTCCATTCCACACAGTTGAAAGTGCAGCCCGAGTTTCTCTATGTGTGCGAGGGGTCTGTTATCGCACAGCATTCATTAATTAAAGAGTAGACGAGAGCCGAGCGATTCAACAAAATGGTGGCCAGTGGGCGGTGCCAGTTTCCCCCGAGATGATTGGAGCAAAAACACTTCCCCTTACTAAAAATATGAAATTACTAGATTATAAAGTTCAATTCTACCATTAATAACGTCAATTTTAGTCCTAACTCAAATTATTCTTTGATAAACTATTCCCCTTAATATATTAAGTATGTATTTATAGGGATCTTGACTCACCTGTCCAGTGGTTACCTCCAGGAGGACAAAGACCAGCAATATGATCTCCTTCTCATCCGAACCGAGGCCGGATCCATTTTGGCCGCAAGTGGCGATGTACAGTGAAACAACGTGCTCGGGAACCTGCATTTTGTCAATATCTGCCTGTGATGATCGTGCTAAAGATGATGGTGGATCTTTGGGTGATGATCCCGTGGATTATTTCTATTGCTAGTGGTTCTGCTCCTCGAACTGAAGCCTCAATCCCGACTAGCTTTGGTTGATCTGCATCTCAGGGCTGCACCGCCAGCGGTTGTGCCTGAAAGAAAGGGAATAGAGATATTACACAATCTGCAATCCAAACTCAAAACTGCAAAACTGCACACTTGGACTTTAAGCTGCATATTAAGCAAGCGCTAATTACGAGTGCGTTCAAGAAATGTCAAACAAAGCGAATCGGTTTGTGGCAGAGTCAAAGTTTGCCAAAGCGAAATCAGCTATGAAGATTACTATACTATATGGTGTATACTATATGCCATAAGCTCGCACTAAAAAATCGAAAAGAAAGCCAAAGTCCGGTGATTCGCTCGAAACTTGGCAAAACGCTTGACACCGCGACATTTTGCATATGCAATCCATCGTAAGTCTATTCGTCCGTCCGTCCATCCGTCACTTAACCCATGTGACGTTGCCAGTTTTCCCGCCGCGTTGCCGCTTTTCAGCGCCTGCATTTGTAATTGGCTCGGAATGGGGAGCTTCTAAGACCGCTGACGTCAAGCAGGTCAAATTGAAATTAAAGTATTAACCTCCGGCTGTCGATTTGAAATTTAATTTCACCCCACTGGCTAACGAAAAGCGAAAAAAGGTAAAAAGCAAATAACAAACGGAGAACGGACTAAAAAATTACATTGCAATTTTATGAGCATTTTTAATGTGAAAAGTTTTACTCTTAATGAAAACACAAGACCCTCAGGGTTCAACCAAAATGGCGCTCATGGGTTAATCGGGCGCGCAGGCGCAAGTCGCTCTTTGTAGTTGTCATGACTTCTCTTTGTTGTAATTAAAATTTTAAATAATGCATACGTGCAAAAAGGCCAGACTGTCGTAATTGAGCCACTTTAAGTGCTCCTCGTGTCGCATCTGATCTGATCGGAACGGAAGCTGGGTTATGTGTATATATGTTTACAGTCTAACCTATCCACCTCGAACCCAAAAACGAATCCTTAAAAGATTCATTCACTTCGAACTCATCATGTCCCTGTACTATCAATAAAATAAAACTCATGTAGTCTTGAATTTCAAAAATTAAAATCCTTCAGATGTTCTTAAATTTTAAACTCATCATGTCCCTGTACTATCAATCAAAAATCAAAAGATTTTAAGTTGTCTAAAGTTCCAAGTTTAATAGCAATATCATAAGATTTCCATTTACTAAAAGATGTACCCACTTAAAATAAATAAAAGTCATGCTGTCACACCACTAATAAATTCAAATAAGTATTTGGAATAGTCTAAAGTGCCAAGTTTGAAAACAACATGATAAGAAGATGGATTTTCCAAAACATACCACTCAAATCAAAAATCGATCTGTGGATGTTGGACTTATAGAAGTTGGACTGTAGCATAACGTTCTGCTTTTATAGTCCACACTTGACTCGAAACTCGTATTGTTCGAGGGGATTTATCATCTCAAAGAGCGACCGTGTGGTAATGAGCGATTGCGGTTATAATCTCGGGTCTTGTGCAATTTATGACGTTTGCTTTTTACGGGTTTTTAACGTTAAACGTTTTTGCATCTTGCACTGCCCTTTGGTTCGTTTTTTATACCCCCCGCCAGCAGGAAATCATCATCAATGCAGGTTCCCACAATTTCTCGCTCCCCAAAAGAACTACCTCTGTTTTCATAACAAAAACAGACTAAACTGGTTCGTGTCTTACTTTTGACACTGTTTTTCGACCTCTGGGGTTAGCTAAACCGAAAAACCGTAGGTTCACTGTTGCAATATAAACTAAAGGCCTCAAAGTGCCCCATTTCCTGTTCCGAGACTTTAAGCCCTTACAGCCCATTAAAACCTGTTGATTTATCCCAGACTGTTGAGAGTGGCATATCATAAGTCGTAGGCTTATGATATGGTTTATGTGATTTTAATTGATGGCAATGAAAACGATAGAGAGATACTGTTATATCAAAGGGGCAGACACGCATTGATAAGTTTTCCCTTTCGTTGGACACTCGATGGCAGATGGAAATGGAAAAGGTACTCTCTTCATTAATGAATAACGGTACGCGAGTCTGGGCCAATTAAGTGAAATAAAGAATGACCGAAAAGACAATGGGAAAGCGTTGGGGCCGTCATTAAAAAGAAGAAACCCAAAATACAGACCCTAACTGGAAATCAGACAGTGGGCCTTTCGTAACTTGAACTTGCATAAGGGGCAGTGGGTTAAATAAAGTATTTAACATTTCAATTTTAAGGTATAGACTGTATATATTTCGCTAAAAAAAAAGATATTTCTAAGATTTCTGGAAGATCGTTAGGAATAACTGATCAGTGGGTTTAATAAAGTATTTAATATTTAAATTTGAAGGTAAATATAGACTGTATATATTTCGCTCAAAAAAGAAATTTCTAAGTTTTCTGGAAGATCTAACTGATGAGTATTTAGAGCGTGTTCTTTTGTTTTATAAGATTTCAGGCAAGTAAAGCCTATTGGTTAGCTTATTTTTAAAAAATATTAGATAAGATCCATTCTTTTTTCCAACTTAAAAAATTCCGTTTTATCAAGGTTAGACTGTAAACGAAGATCAATCTCCGATCGTTACACTCTTGGCAAGACAATACCATAAACCCGTGATTAAAGACGAATTAGTGACAGGCGCAGCAGGAGAGAAATAAAAAACAACGGCAAAAACTATTGCAATTAATGAATTGCTACCTGCTGATTGGTAAACCAGAAAGTGAGCAGATTTTACTTGTTTGTTTTTTGTGTGTTTTCGGACTTGCTTATTAAATTATGAATTGCGCAAGTTTCTTTTTTACGGTTTTTGTTTTATGCATTGTTCCCCGCTTGCAAATATGTTGTAGTTGTTGTTGTTGCTACTGGCGTGTGCCGTTAGTTGTTGTTGGGGCAACAGGAAACTTATGATTGCGCAAAATTGCTGGCGAGAAATGCCAATTGCCAAAGTTATTCGCAAAAAACAGTGGTAGTAAAACGCAAAGAATAGGGAAAATTTTCTTTGGCTCTTACTCTATCTGGAATTTTATCTCTTTCCCTCTTTTAACTGGATCTCACGCAAGCAACAAGTGCAACTCTGTAATTGTTGCAGTGATTCTGCAAATAAAACAAAGAGATCGACAATAGGCGAACTTAAAATGCCCTCGAATTTTTCACTACGCAGCATGAGTTTCGTTTTCAGGCTATACTATCTTATCTTGGTAAAATTTAAATTACGAAGTCAGATTTTCCAAAAAAAAAGAAATAAATCGACGGATAATTTTAAAAATTATCTAAGATATTATTATATTACAAAAATATTTTCTGCTTTTAAACTATTTTTTTTAACAAAATATACCCATATCTTTAAGAAGGGTATTATAAGCAAGTCGGGTTCTCTCTCTCTGCATCTTCGTTTTTTTTGGTCTCATCTCAGTTAACTGTAAATTTGTTTTCACTTTGTTTAGCGCATCGCCTTACTGTTGTTTTTTTTTGTTGTTTTTGTTGATGTTGCTCATTCATTTTGGTATATTTAATAGATTGTTCGACTTAGAGCAACAACAAGCTGTTCTCAATCGGATATTCTCCCCCTCTCTTTCCCGTGCGCTCTCTATCTCTCCCTCTGTCTCGCTCTTTAGATCTTTTTGTGGGATGCGACAGGTTGTTGGTAAAGGTAAATGATATCTACTACAGCTTCCTCCTGCTCCTCTTTATCTGACTCTTCCTCTTACTCACTCTCTTTCTCGCTCTCTGCGCGGCGGCAACTTAACTGTTTTTACTGTTTTACTTGTTTTATGTATTTTTTCCGTTCAACACGTTGTTGTACACATTGCACTTGTTGGCTTTTCACAATTTTTGGTTTTTATTGCACTTTCTTTTCTCTCGCACACACCTTTACTGGTGGCCTGTACGTGTACGACAGTTAAATTCAATTCAACGCCTGCGTTGTTTTTGTGGCCTTTTGAATTGTTAACTATTTTAATTTAAAGCCAGCAAACAAGTCTTTTTCTTCTTCTTGACCTGTTGCTTCTACCACTTTGTCTTGTTGTCTTTTTCTAGTTTTTTTTTTTTGGTGTGAGTGTGCGTGCGAGCGTTTTTTGAGTGTGTGTGTGTGTCGGATCTTTTTTGTTAACGTTTTTTTAACGACCGTCGCGCATCCGCTTGGTTTCAAGTTGAAAAAACAACTGATCGCCGCAGCGAAACGCAGGTAACCACGAAGGTAAATTAAGGTGAGTGAGCTGCGCTTGCCTGAAAAGAGAGGCGAGAGCGCGAGAGAGCAGGCCAAACAAGATTCCAGCACGCACATACTAACAAGAACAACAACACGGCCAGGTGTGTGTTTGCCAATAGGCTTTGCTTTCAGGTGGTTGGCAACGCGGCAGAGAGAGAGAGAGTTACACATACTCCTCGGCTTAAGCTTGACTTACAACAGAGAGTTAATCCGCTCTCCATTAGTTTCCCACGCTGCGCAAGACAGTTACGCTCAGTGAGCATGACGCTCTCTCTCTCTCTCTCGCACAGAAGTTACCTGCTTCACCAACACACTCTCATCGCTGCACACACACTTACACCTGTACACTGTTTGCTCTGCTCTTCTTCTTCCTCCTCTTCTTCGCTTGCTCAATTACCAACGGGGAATGCAGAACGGAGAATATTGCCCACGTAGAATAGTCCGCTTACCTGTTTACCTTTCCTTTTGGCCAAAATCATCGTTGCTTGGGAATTAACTATTATTTAGTAGAGACTAATTAATATCACTTTATATATTTTCAGAGCGGGCGAGATACACAGAGCAAAAGCAACAGGCGACGGCGACTAACTGGCTGACAGTCGAGCAACGTAAACGCGTTTTGGTCTAAACGAGCGAGAGAGAGAGAGAGTGAAAAGCATCGAGAGAGCGCAGGTGTCGGTGTGCGTGGGTTGCTTACCTGTGGAGCGTGTCACGACCCGAAACAATATATCGTTATCGTACTGTTAACTCCTTTCTGTAGATTTAATATCATTAAATTAGTAAAACTAACATTAAAAATATATTTTTGTAAACACAAAATTTTTAAAATGTCGTCTAAAAATATTTTGATGTACATGGATTTTTTTGTTCCTTACATTTGCACATGTCTCGAATTCTAGAACATTTACCAATTAGAAATGGAATAAAACATATTCAGGAATATTCACTTTCGTAACGAAAGTTTCGTTGGTTTTCCTCTTAGAATTTCTAGTTATTATGTTAAATAGAAAATATAATTTTATTCATAGACTTCAAGATAGGGAAATTCAAGTTACGTTGTAGTTTGACTGTACCGTGAACTTTAAGGGTGATTTAAAAAATGTTCTCATATCTTGAGAGCTACAAATGAAAGTATTTCGGATTTCAAAAGCAAAAAAAGTTAAATAGAAAATTGGAAAGAACAACTTTCCAATTCTTGAAAGTATGCAACGATTTCCTACAAAATTACTTTTGCCCATTATAAAAACTTTCCTTTGACACCAGTAATTAATTCCCCACCTAGTATTCATAAATATAGCAAGGGCTAGGGCACATTTAATAGATAGATATTTGGAATATTGCACAGTAGAAACATATAAAATGGCATACTGATAAGGACAAAGGCCAGGGATAAAGGTAAGTAGTTATCCTCACAAGATGATCTCGTTCTTGAAGCTGCGACTGAGCTCCTTGTGCGGCAGAACGATGCTGTTTAGCAGGATCTTCTCGGCGGGCACCTGCACAAAACATCCTGAAACGGGAAGTTAATTTAATACAAGTAAATCCGCAATTGATTCAAAGTCCATACCCAATATGGTAATCGAGGGATTCAGTTTGCCCTCGTTGTTGAAAAGCGGTGGGTTCTCCATTTTAGCGAAGGGCTTGTTGGGATCCGGATCACTGGGCGTTCCCTCGACCCGAGCCCAAGCTCCAATGGTGGAACCCCTGCCCACAATGGAGTGGAGGACGAGAGTGTGGTCCAGGATTTGGGCCTGCTCCAGAACAATCGATTCACGGATGCGCACACCTGGTCCAATTGTCACTCCAGGTCCGATGGCCACATTGGGTCCCAGCTGGAAGTGCAAGGAAAATAGAATCATAACAAGAGGGAACGCTATAGTCGGGTGGGTGTCTCGACTATATAATACCCGTCACTCAGCTAAAGGGAGTGCGAGGGAGATGGATATATAAAATTTTGATTGCGCATAACTTTTTAATGAATGTTCCGATTTGAAAAATGTCTTCTACATTTCGATAGGTATAAATATACACTACTTCTTGGTAATCTTTAAAGATGTGGGCGCCAGACACATTTTAAAATGGTTAGTGGGCGATTGTGGTCGTTAGAGGGGGCGTGGCGCTCGGCTGAAATAAACTTGCGCTGCGTAGGAAGCCCAAGAATAAGTGTGGGAAATCCCAACCTACTAGCTTTTGTAGTTTCCGAGATCTCAGCGTTCATATGGACGGACAGACAGACGGTCATGGCTAGATCGACTCGTATAGTGACCCTGATCAAAAATATATTTACTTTATGGGGTCGGAAATGCTTCCCTCTAGCTGTTACATACTTTTTACAATATAACGGGTATAAAAATAGGATTGGTTTTTTCTATACCCACCACTGCGCTGTGATGAACGGTGGCACTGGGATGCACGTAGACATCCGGGAAGACTGTGCAGATCAGGCTGCCGTCGCCTTCTCCTCGCTTCGTGCCCACGTTGGCCAATCTCTCCGGATGCGTTTTCTTGTACAACCCCAAATAATGACGATTGGCGTAGATGGCCGAACCGGCGGTCTTCAGCTGGGACCACCAATTGGGCACCGGCATGGCGAAGAGCTTGTCGGTCCCCGCCAGGGGAGTCAGCACCTCCTGCTCCCACTTGATGTGGCCCTGCTCCCGGCCATTTCCGTTGCCATTGCCATTGCAGAATCCCTGGCAGCCGTACTCCTGACCCCGCGAGTGGAAAATCTGCGCCAGCACGGTGAATATATCCATGGAGCAGACATACACGCCGCAGTTGATGAACGTGGACACATAGGAGCTGGGCTTCTCCACGTAGTGGGAGACAGCACCGCTGCTCCGGTCGAAAACCAGGCAGCCGTAGTGCAGCGACTGCTGACGCGTGGCCTCCGTGGACATGATGGTCACCAGGGCGCTCGACGGACGCTTCTCGTGGAACTCGCACAGCTCCTGCAGCGGAAAATCAGCGCAGACATCGCCGTTCAGAACGAAGAAGGCTCGCGGATTGCCAGCTCTTATTTGGTCCCGGAAATGGTACATACCACCCGCAGTTCCCAGGGCAGTGAATTCCTGCAGGTACCTAAAATGAGGGACACGTCATGGTAAAGTATGAGTGTTATTTCTAGGGTATCGGAAGATATAGCCACTTAAATAGATGAATAGAATAAGCCAAATTATTTTATTTTACTAATTATTCTTATGAAAGGGTAGTTTAGTTAAATGTCGTTAGAAATAAAAATCTAAATCTAATAAAAATCGAACAAATAGTATAAAACATTTCCATTGTATTGTATTCAAAATTATAGAATACTAGAATTGCTGTGACTTTTGGACTCTCTTTTTTCCAAATATTTGTTGCTCGAAAAATACTTTATATGGATGTATAGTGAGGATTTCTACGATTAGTATTAACTTCAAAGTTTAAACACCAAGATTTTGAACTCTGTGGTATAAGTAATTCCTGACCCTCGGAACCACAATATAATATTTAACATTTTTTATGACACGTACATATTTTGAAACTATTTGAATATAAATTGTATAAAAATGTAATAATAATTTCGATGATACCCCATTCATCAGCAGGGTACTCCAGGAACCTAACTTCTTAAAATCCCAGTTCTAATTTGGAGAACATTTATCTTAGGAACCTTTCTTCCCCCCTGAACCCAGAGGAACCCACCTGATGTTGATGTTGCTGCTGCTGTAGAGGGCCTGCATGTCGCCCACGAATCCCTCCATCTGGGTCTGCGGATAGTAGCCGATGATAAGGATCTCCCGGAGATCGGGGAGCTGGGCACAGGCCTCGATATGGTGGGCAATCAGAGGACGACCGGCCAGCGGGAAGAGGGGCTTGGGCGTGTCCAGCGAGAGGGGGCGGAAGCGGGTGCCCTTTTGGGGGCCGCCGATGAGGATAACGGCCTTCAGCATGGTGTGCGTGCAGCGGTTCAGGTGACTTAATGCCGATCGTTCAATTTCCAGGAAAATATATATCTTTTCTGTTTACGTTGCCAACTAATAAAAAATATGTGGTTCCACAACAGCTGATTGCGCTAACAGCCCCTGGAATAACTGATAACAGACTTAACAGCACGCTGTTAACTGCACAGAATGTTTTTCCAATTTGTATTCTTTTTATATTTTAGTTTTTTTTTAATAACACATGTTTTAAGGAATTTTATATAAAATTAGCATTTAAATCTTCTTTGGATTTAGTTTACTTTTTGCTCATGTATTTTACAAATAAATAACGAATTGAATTATTCTTAAAGTCGTGTGCCCACTGTATCTCCCCTGGAACTCTGTTACCTGACAGCCCCGGAAAGGCCTGCCAATGGGAAGACTCCAGTTACTTCCAGCCCAACAATTGATTTTCCAGCTTCTAAACAACTCGATTTTAACTATTTATACAACGAAAACCATTTAATAAATGTCTTTAAATACACGATAAGAACAAAGGCGTAGCACTGAATCTATGGATAGTTGTTTACATTGGGTAACGCAATACTCTGACGGCTGCAGCAATACGAAACAGTGGCGATGTATCTCAGGAACCCTAGAGTTTAGCGCACCAGATCCTCGGGATTGAACATGCCGCGGGCGCGACGCAGAATGGAGTCCTTGCTGGCGTCGTAGGGATGGTCCTTCGAGGGAATCTCGAGGACCGCGGGAACGGGCGACGTGTGGGCATCGATCACGTGACGAATGAGCTCGGCACAGTTCTGGTTGATCAGGATGATGTCGATGTCGTCCCGCTTGAGGAACCGCTTGAAGCAGTCCTCCAGCTCGCTGACGGGCGTGTTTTTGTCGACCACCATGAAGTTGGGGTGGCGGTTCTTGTTGATCTCGCCCACGCCGCCGAGCAGGAATCCCACGCAGGTGTCCTCGTCGCCGATGACGCTGATCAGTTTTCCCTTGATTGCCGAGTGCAGAGCCATTTTGCTTGGGTTTTTCTGCTTTTTTTCCGGGAGCGATGTGGACAGCGAAAATAAAACCTGACTTTGGGAAAATGTTCGATGTCAGCTGGTTTCTGTCACATGACCCCTTTGCGCCTAACAGCACTGGAATGGCGCTAACAGCACTGCGACTTTTCGGTATTTTGATGTTAGTAAATACCAAAATGTAACGGTCCCCTCATTCAGTGCGACCGTATTCTATAATTTTAAAAGACTTTTTTAAAATTTTTAAATTTAAAAATCTTTCTAAACAGGTAATTATTTATTTGTTCAAAAGAAAGTCATAATCATTTAAGACTTATTCCAAATAAGAAAGGAGGATAGATAAAGTGTGCTGAAAGTTGTTACTTTAATGGCTCGACTTTCCCTTCAAAATATACATGCTTTAAAACGTGTCCGTTTATCGTCATCAAAACATACAAAAGGAATCTGGATTCATGAAGGACTTCTACCATTTCCAAAGGGATTTCGTCCTATACCTCCGTAGGAAGCGTGAGCAACCGAAAATGCGGCTACCATAGCAAATAAGACAATCTGAAAGGCAGAGGATTTTAAATTTGTTTTGTTGTTTCAATGACAGACTTACTGCAAATAATTTCATGTTGCTTTATATTTTGGAACCAAAGCTAATTTCACAGACCGGGCTCTTTTATACCCGATTTTGATAGCAAATCTGCTTTGCGTGTTTGACTTTGGAAAACCAAGAACCAAAAGCCACACACTTAAAGAAAAATATTGATTTCCTTCGTACAATATATTGCTAAAAATAAAATCTAGTTAAACTTACTATAAACGTACCTTTCGCTCTCAGTTTTAATATTTTTGTAATTTCTTTAGTTAAATTTGTAAATTATTGATATTCATACTCGCAACAACAATTAAGGACCTTCTGTTTTTCTTAATATTTATTTAATTTAACTGACTAAAATTTAACTGAATTATGTTTTTTGAAGTGTGCACCGCATAAAGACATTAAAATGTTTTTGGAATTTTCGGAGAAAGAAACCACAATTTTAAAATTGAGGAAATTCAGAGAATTTCAGAAAACCATATATTTGTTAATGTTTAAGAAATAATAAAACGAAACAATCAGAAACATTAAGGTTAAAGTTATGTATGTATAAATAGTGTTCATTAAAAATGTTATGTTAAGCTTCGTTATCTGTATAATATTTTTAAAATAATTATTTCATTTAATAATTTTGAGTAAAGCGATAGACATTGACAAAATATGTACATTAATTTCCGGTATTTTTCAAATTCTACTATCAAAACTTTGGGCGCCACAGAATGAATGGGACAAATCGACACGCCCAGAGATCCGAGAGATTATGATCAATATCATAATACCCAAAGCGAGGGTATAAAGATGCTCTTATCAGTGGTCGTTAGCTGTATTCCTCGTTATAATCTCGGAATAAGACCGTTCATTTACATAAATACTATAAGACAATATATTTTTCTGGGAATTTTTAAAATGTATAAAAGATAGACGTTCCTATCCTATTGACTGGACTTCTGCAGGCGTATTTCCATTGTGATCGAACATTTTCGCTTGGAATGACGTTCGCAGCATCTTTTGTTATTTTTTCCTGTTTAGTTTTGTTAACCAATGTATCTACATTGTTTCTGGATGAGGATTGTGGGGTTGTATCTCAGACTAGAGATAGGATAATGAACGGTAAGCCTGCGGCGATCCTGGACAATCCCTGGATGGCCCTTATTAAAACGCCGAAAGAGTTTATCTGTGCAGGAACGCTTATTAATCATCGTAAGTATCCCAAACTGAATTTTGGCTGTATTCAATATGACTAATAATCCCATATGTTTCAGGTTTCGTCTTATCAGCTTCGCATTGTCTTTGCGATTCGCTCGACTGCAAGAAAAAACACACTGCACTGTAAGTTTTCTTTAAGGCGGAATGGACTACACCCAAAAAAAATCGATATGAAACGTAGATCGGTTTTACATTATTTAAGATCAATTCTAATTTAATATGTGGCCAGTTAAATTTGAGCTGGTCGAGAAGAGTATTTTATGTAAAAACGATATGGGTTTTGCATGACATGAAATTTACATAGCCATATCGATTTTACGGGAACATGTTTTGTTTTGTGTGTATTAAATATCTAATTCAATTACCCAATAGCATAGTTCGTTTGGGAGAGTATGACCGATCGACGGATAATGAATCCTCAGACGAAGACTTTAATGTGATAAGGTTCTACGAACACAAGTCGTTCAACATAACCTCCCACATTGGCGACATAGCTCTGCTGAAACTAGATAGAAGTGTGGTTTACAAGCCCCACATTCGACCGATCTGCATTCAGCTAGATATCAGGTACAAACCGGAAGCGGACTTCATCAGCAAATACACGGCAGTTGGCTGGGGAAAGACGGAGACGGGTAACTTGAGTGATGTCCTTCAAACGGCCGAGATCTACAGACTGGATAAAAACACTTGCTTAAACTTCTTCTGGGGAGTTTTGAGCGATTCACAAATCTGTGGAGGCTCCCACAATGGAGTCGACACCTGTAAGGGGGACTCCGGAGGACCCTTGTACTCCAAAGTTTCAGACGGAGTCCTGGGGCGCCAAACTCAATTCGGAATCGTTAGCTTTGGAGCTCTAGAATGCGGCGGATTGGGTGTGTACACCGATGTAATGAGCCATGCCGACTTTATAGAGCGAATCGTCCTGGAATCCGACATTACTGTCCTACTTCCGAAGATAGACTTGCTGGATGAAGGCTGTTTGGATGACCCAAAACTAAGAAGTAGAGCGAAATCGGCTGCCGACACTTTTCCATGGCTAGCCCAGGTTTTCATGGACTCCTTTCTGATTTCCTTTGGAGCACTTGTATCTAACAGTTCGTATTTGCATCTATGTGCTTGAAACGATTGAAAACATTATGCTCTTCTAGAATTTGTGATCACGACTGCCCAGCTGATTCCCGAAAACGCTCCACTGTAAGTACTTAGATGTTCCCTGTAATAAATAATCCTATTTTAATTATCTGTGCAGAAAGGTTCTTTTGGGTGAATTCAGTGAAAGTATTTTGCATGCCTATAAAGTCAGTTCCATACACAAGCACCCTGAATTTGAGAGCCTGACTAAGAACGACGTAGCTCTACTTGAATTAGAGGAGAAAGTGGATTACACTGGTAAGTGGGGGTAACAAATTTTCTCTTTATTATTTAACTATTTATTTTATCTGCGTAGTTTTGATTAAACCAATCTGCCTGCCCTCACTAACTAACAAGGCGGAACAAGAGAAGTTCCAGAAGAAGGCTGATCGTGCGCAGAAACTGACTGCTGTTGGCTGGGGGATCCGGAGATCAGTGATGGTTCAGAAGGTCGATTCAAGTGAATGTTACCAGGAGGACCTCCAAGAGATCGGGGATAAGCAAATCTGCATGGAGCACTCCATTTCCAATATTATGAGCATAGGCAGTGGCAGTCCCCTGGTTAAACGTCTTCCTTATGGAAATAGTAGGGCTTTCACACTCGTCGGATTGGCCAGCTTTGGAAGGATGGAATACCACTCTCGAGATGTTTATACCAAGGTTTTAAGCTATATAGATTGGATCGGAACTTTAATAAAGAAGTGATGTTTTACTCATATCATATCATATTGCAGTTTTATTTCAGATCTTGCCACTTGCTTACTTTATGTAACTAGATTTAATTCTTTATTAAAAGTTTGATTTTTCAGTGAATAAAAACTATTGAATTTTAAACTGCAGATGTAGTAATTTTCTCACTATTATATATGGTAGATTTTGTTTTGCACCAAATGTGTTTGAAAACTAATAATTATATTTAAGATTTATGCGACGACCAATGGTTCTTAAGAGTCCTGGTTAATCCCAACCTTCTGGCTTTTACAGTTTCTAAAATCTCAGCGTTCATACTAGAGCCCTGCATGAATCATTCAATTTTTGTTTTATCATAGTACGCCATGAAATTTCTGATTTGTTTAATTCAATTCTATGTGAAATAAATTGAATGTTGTTCTAATTCATTTCGAATTGAATGAATCGAATGAATTATTTTATGAATTTTTAGATTTTTTCAGTTTTTTTATTATGTTTTCTTTTGAGAACAAAAAGTGGAAAATTTTTAACAAATCAATGTTAACTGCATAGTAAATAAAATTCAGCCAGATTTAATCACAAAATAATCGCCCTTTCTTCCTCAAAATAAATTGTCGTTTGAATTATTTCGGAATTCATGCCATTCATTCATTCAATTCTATTAAAGTCAAAATTCAAATTCATTCAATTCTATTAAACACAAAATTCCAATTAATTCATTCATATAACAGAAAAAAATTCAAAATAATTCTTTGAATCCATTTATGCAGGGCTCTAGTTCATACGAACGGACAGACATTTTATGTACTACAATTTCTATTCAATTTCGTAAGTTCTCTTAATGACATTTTTTAGACGAAATAAGCAGCTGATAAGCCATTCTATTTCCGAGAACTTTGTTCGAAATCTTTCGCCTTTCTTTCTTTAGTACGATCGGAGACTTAAGCTCGGTATGACGACGGCGGCTGCTTGGGTTATTTTATTTGGTTTACTTTTAATAAACCATGGATCGACATTGCTTCTGGACGAGGACTGCGGCGTTGCAACTAATATTGCCCCAAGGGTGACGAACGGGGTTATTGCGGGAATTCTTGAAAATCCCTGGATGGCCCTTATTAAAACGCCAAAAGAGTTTATTTGTGGAGGAACGCTTATTAGTCATCGTTGGTATTCGAAAATAATTTCGGAATATACATCTGACTAATAAATGACATACATATTTTTAGAATTCGTCTTGACGGCTGCGCACTGTCTGTACGATCCGTATTCCCCTACTATAAAACACACTAATCTGTAAGTATTTTGTGCAAGCTTTTAAGAGTTTAGATTTAAGATTAGTTTATTAAACAGCATTGCTCGTTTGGGAGAGTATAACCGATCAACGGAGCACGAATCCTTGCATCCCTATGAAGACTTCAATGTGTTAAAAGCCTACGAACGCAAGGGTTTTCAAATGGAATCCTTTATGAATGATATAGCTTTGCTAAAACTTCAAAGAAGTGTTATTTACAAAACCCAAATTCGACCGATATGCATTCAGTTGGATAAACGTTCGAAATCTAACTCGGACGGCATTCAGAAATTCACTGTAGTCGGCTGGGGAAAAACCGAGACCGGAAATGTAAGTGATGTACTTCGAACGGCTGAGGTCTACAGAATGGATAAAGAGCATTGTAATAGAACATTGTGGAAGCCTTTGAGTAGCACACAGATCTGTGCTGGGACACACAATTTTGTAGACACTTGTCAGGGAGACTCCGGCGGGCCCTTGTACTCCAATGTTCCAGACGGAGGCCTAGGGCGTCAAACTCAATTCGGAATCACTAGCTATGGAGCTGACCAGTGTGGCGGAGTGGGTGTATACACCGATGTAATGAGCCACGTTGACTTTATAGAGGAAACTGTCATGGAATCCGATATAACTGTCCTACTTCCGAAAATGGACTTGCTAGATGAAGGCTGTTTGGATAACCCAAAATTAAGTAGCAGGGCAAAATCGGGTCCCGACACTTTTCCTTGGCTAGCCCAGGTTTTTATGGATTCCTTTCTGATTTCCTATGGAGCACTTATATCGAACAGTTCGTATTTGCATTTATGTACTTGAAACGATTAAAAACATTGATATTTTCTAGAATTTGTGATTACGACAGCCCAGCTGCTTTATGAAGAAGCTCCACTGTAAGTTCCTAGATGTTTTCTGTGATAAATAATCCTATTTCAAATATCTGTGCAGAAAGGTTCTTTTGGGTGAATTTAGTGAAAACATTTTGGATGCCTATAAAGTCAGTTCCATACACAAACACCGTAAATTTGAGAGTCTGACTAAGAACGACGTAGCTTTGCTTGAATTGGAGGAGAAAGTGGATTACACTGGTAAGTGGGTTTAACAAATAGCCTTTCTATTGTTAAATGATTTATTTTATCTCTGTAGATTTGATTAAACCAATCTGCCTGCCCTCACTAACTAACAAGGCGGAACAAGAGAAGTTCCAGAAGAAGGCTGATCGTGCGCAAAAACTGACTGCTGTTGGCTGGGGCATCCGGAGATCAGCGATGGTTCACAGGGTCCATTCAAGCGAATGCTACCAGGGGGACCTCCAAGAGATCGGGGATAAGCAAATCTGCATGGAGCACTCCATTTCCAATATTATGAACATAGGCAGTGGCAGTCCCCTGGTTAAACGTCTTCCTTATGGAAATAGTAGGGCCTTCACACTCGTCGGATTGGCCAGCTTTGGAAGGAAGGAATACCGCTCTCGAGATGTTTATACCAAGGTTTTGAGCTATATAGATTGGATCGGAACTTTGGTAGCGAAGTAGGGGATGATATTACTCTTAATAATGTTAGTAATGCAAACTTATTGACGTCCCAGATAATCCTAAGCAAGAATATTAATTTTTTATAGGTTTGGATTGAATTAGGTTTTTTTGAAATATTAATCATAATCATATAAATAAAAAAATCATAAATCCAGCTCTGAAAACCCCCAAGAGCTATGATTTCATACAGAAGGAAGTAGCTAGATAAGGGTCAACTGGTAATCGCAGTATATTAAATAGAAAAACAATAAAGAAGTTATTATAGCTCAAATTACACATTAAATTTTTTACGTTTTTATTACTTGTACTTATAATGAAGTATATTTTGTAAAATTGTGTTTTGTAAAAAACTTAAATTAAAAAACTGGTCTTAAGTAGATTTATTGAAAGAATTGTGTGGTAATTAAAAGTACTGGTACTTACTGTACTTTATTCTAGGGGTTTTTATGGTACTCTATTGTATTAATGATTATATTTTTATATTTAAAAGCGCCACCGAATTCATAACTTTTGATTTTTAAGCTAACGTTATGGTAAATATTCTGGTCCCCAAAATGTTTGCAGGGTGACGCGGTCAAGTTAGCGAGGACACCCACCCAGCGAGAGACCGTATGCTAGAGTAATTAAAAGTGGTATTTAAAGTACATTTCTCAACCCGGTCATACTAATAGCACGCGCCGCAGAAATTTGCCAATAATTTTCGCACCGCACCTCCCTCGCAAGCGTCGCAAGAGGAGGCGTCGTCGTGAGATGGAGATGGCAATGGCAACGGGAGACGGAGCTGGAGCTGGAGCGGGTGCGTCGGTGGAGCAGCTGGTGGCCCAGACGCTGCAGGCGGCGACCAATCCGAGCCACGAGATCGTCCAGAAGGCGGAGGCGCAGCTGCGCGAGTGGGAGCAGCAGCCGGGCTTCTTTCCCACGATTGCCCGGCTGAGCATGCGGCGGAGCGATGGGGAGTCCTCCCAGGCCTCCAGCACCGAGGACTCGGCGGTGAAGGTGCGCTGGATGGCGGCCGTCTACCTGAAGAACGGCGTGGAGCGCTACTGGCGGCCCAATTCGCGCCAGGAGCTGTCCGCCGAGCAGAAGCAGCAGATCCGCGAGGTCCTGCTGCGCCACTACGACGCCGAGGAGGTGCCCCAGGTGGCCCTGCAGATAGCCGTGCTCCTGGGAAGGCTAGCGCGCACGGACTACCCGCGCTTCTGGCCGGAACTCCTGCCCACGCTTATGAAGCAGCTGCAGGCCTGCGGCACCGATGGCGAGTCAGCGCTGCAGCAGCGCATCCTCGTCGTGCTGCACTACGTGCTCAAGGCGCTCGCCTCGCGCCGCCTGATGGCCGAGCAGCGGGCCTTCGAGGAGCTGGGCTCCCAGATATTCGGCTATTTGGCCTGGGACATCTGGGCGCCGCTTACCGCCCGCTTTCTGCAGCTCGTGCGCAAGGAGGAGGCCCTCGCCCTGAATGCCCTGCAGCGGGCCTACGTGGTGATGAGATCCCTGCGCAAACTGGTGGTCTACGGCTGCGCCAAGCCGTACAAGTCGACGGACCACATGAACTTCGTGGAGCAGCTCTTCCAGCGGCTGCGCCAGTGCCTCGAGCTGCGCTACGAACTGAGGATGGGATCGGGCACGCCCGGCAGGGCCACGATACTCACCGAACTGGAGCGCTTTGTGATCAAGATGATGAAGACCCTCAACGAGCTGATGGAGCGGCACTCGGTGTCCTTTGCGCGCTTCGTGCCGGTGGCCCTGGAGTTCAGCTTCCACTATGTGTTCCACGAGGGCACCGCCCTCATCTTCGACGCCGGCGACCGCATCAACTTCAGCAACTTTGCCATTCAGGCGCTGAACATGCTGAAGGGCATCATGCTGAGCGGCAACGACAGCATCAGTGCGCCGCCCGAGGGAGGAGCCTCGCTGGAGGACGAGCTGCTGGCCAGTGCCGCCCAGAGCCACGCCAAGTTCTTCACCGCGGAGCGCGTGACGTACATCTGCGAGAAGATCGTGACGCACTACTTCCTGCTGACGCAGCAGGAGCTGGAGGAGTGGCAGCAGGACCCGGAGGGCTACGACCAGGACGACGGCGGTGGCGATGCCTGGAAATATGCGCTGCGGCCCAGCGTGGAGACCCTCTACTTCACCTGCTTCACGCAGCACTCGCAGGTGATGATCCAGGAGGTGCTGCGCTTTGTAAGGCGCGCCCAGCAGCTGCAGCTCACGCCGGAATCCGATCTGAAGGCCATCCTGCTGAAGGACGCCATCTACAATGCCGTGGGCCAGGCGGCCTTCCACTTCTTCAACAAGCTGGACTTTGGCGCCTGGCTCACCTCGCAGCTGCTGGCGGAGCTGCGCGTGGAGGCCCCCAACTTCCGCATCCTGCGACGCCGCATCATCTGGCTGGTGGGCCACTGGGTGGGCGTGCAGCTGCCCCGCGAGCTGCGTCCGCTGGCCTACGAGGCCTGCCTGCATCTCCTCCGGCCGCAGGAGGATATGCCCACGAGGCTGGCCGCCGCCAGGACTTTGAATCTGCTGATCGACGACTTTGAGTTCATGCCCGAGGCCTTTCACCCCTACTTCCCGTCGCTCTTCGAGGCCCTCTTCCTGCTGCTCCACGAGGCCGCCGAGTGCGACACCAAGATCGTGGTGCTGGGCACCATGACGCTGCTGGTGGAGAAGATGAGCGAGTACATCGAGCCGCAGGCGCTGCAGTTCATCGCCTATCTGCCGCTGCTGTGGCGCGAGAGCGAGGAGTACGACCTCCTGCGCTGCGCCATCATCGGCACCCTCGAGCAGCTCGTCCGCACGATCCGCGATGTCCCGGAGCCCATGAAGCCCTTCCTCTACAGCGTCATTGAGCTGAGCACTGACCTCCAGGTGAGCGTAGATTACTTTGTAAATCGAAATTCGAACTACATAATTAATCTTTTATGTCAAGCTTGGCTATAAATTTGAAATTTTCCATATTAGACGGTCAGATTGATCGGATTTGAACTGCAAGACTTATAGAGAGTATGAAAGAGATGCATTATTCATAGAGAAGTTGTACTGCAATGGTGAAAAAATATGTAATGATGAGAATATAATTTATTCCTTTCTTATTTCCTGGTGCTACAAGGATTCCCTTATAAATTAATGCACTAATCACAAAAAAAATACTAAGAATAATGAAAATATGTAGGTCCCTACTTATATTAGAGTTTCACACTTATATCTAACATTTAATACAATTAACAATTAGAACTGACGCTTTTAAAAATTGTCGAAAATTTAAATTTAATTAGTTTTGTTATTTAATTTACATTTGAAAAACTATTCAAGGTTACATATTATATTCACTTTCTAGCATTTAGCATTTTAGCATTTTATGACCTGTAAACCAATTTTGAGTATGACCTTTTCCATGTTAATAGGTATGATTGCGATTAAATCTTACATTTATAGTCGACTGTCCTATTCAGTTTAATCAATCCTATGTAATAGCTATCCCCTTGTCTTTTGCCAAAGATTTTATGCTTGTAGGCAAGCTTCATATTGTAGTCCTCATGTGGGGGCATGCAACCGTCTTTTGTGCAATCAATAAATGTAGATTTATTGTATTCCCCAAGGAGAACCGTTCTGTTCCGAAGGATACATAAGAAGATTTGGGTACGAATAGCTGGTTATCTGTACTTACAATTTTCTAGGCAGTCAGGAGAAACCCTAAAAAATAGATTATCTACAGTTGAAAAATCAAAACATTTAGTAATTACAAATTTTTAGTGATTAAGGTGCTAGAATCGAGTTAATGTGTAGTATACATCTGCATGAATAACAAAAAATACATATTCGAATTGACAATGTTCAAAATGAGTTGAATGAGTTGGAATGTGTAGGGAAACTGGCTTGAATAAATAAGTGTACTGACGTAAAACTCAGTCGAACCAGAAATGGTGATGGAAAACAAATCGAGTAAATGAGTACACGAACAACTCAGACGAATTTATTCGAATCCATTCGAGTTCTTACATGACGTCATAAGGGCAAAATGGAAAATTAAAGGGCATAGGGGAACAAGCCTGGGAAAACTGCCCCAGGCGATATTGCAAAATTTTAGATGAGGATTGGTAGATAGGAACCTAATCGATAAGAATTCCAATTTTCAAATAATTTGATCCGCTGGTTTACGAGTAATCTGCCGCAACTGAAGAACATATCACTTGATGTATTTTCCCTTCGGTGGTTCTTGAGAAAACTTTTTTGATGCCAATAATTTTTGTGTTAACCTTCAAGAATGTCAGCCAATCTTTGGATTTTTACCATTCTTATAAGCTACCAAAAATCGCGATTCAAATTTTCAAAAAATTGGTTCAAGACTTTCCAAGTCTGACAAGTTTTTTACAGTTTGTGTGTCCTATAACCATCTACTTCATATAAAATATTCATAATTTTTCGAGTGGTGCAACAGTGTTAAACAAACAAAAAACTGAAGAATTTATTTCTGGAAGGGTAGGAATGGAGTCAATAAAATATATTTGGCTTGTAAATAGTTAGTTCTTAGACCAGAATTATTATCAAAGAGTAAAGTTTTTAATATTATGGGTGAAAAGTGGTCCGAATTATAAAATGTTTGGCATGTATTTGCTTGTAATTGATTTAATAGGGACCCAGTCCCAGTCTAGTCCCCACAGCTTCGAATTTCATATCCTCCCTGGACAGAGATTTCATAAGAAATCCTTTGAGCATGGATGACCAACAAATACTTTATTTATGTGATTCTAAAGAAATCGCGGTCCAAAGAGGATTACTTAATTTGCGATCCTTTCGGTACCATCGTTATTCTAAAAAGCAAGATAGTAATTTGAAAGCTTTAATATGCGGAGCACGATAAAAATTTGTTAACAAATTCGCGCAATAACAACGGTGCCGAAATCTCGCATATCCTCTTTGGACCGCGATTTCTTTAGAATCACATAAATAAAGTATTTGTTGGTCATCCATGCTCAAAGGATTTCTTATGAAATCTCTGTCCAGGGAGGATATGAAATTCGAAGCTGTGGGGACTAGACTGGGACTGGGTCCCTATTAAATCAATTACAAGCAAATACACTACTGGTCAAAAGAATAAGTACACACGTTACACCCTCACTTGCTAAGAGATATCTCTATAGTTATT